AAAAAATGGATAGAACAACCAGAAAGAAACTTGACAAAGACGCAGAAGAACTAAAAACATATCACTGACACTGACTGATGAACACAAAACCCAAACCAAAGGAATATACTACTGATGGAAACTCAGTGTACAAAGATTCAAAACCATTAAATGCAGGGGTAAGTCAAAAAGTATTGCTATAAAATGATAGAAACATTCATTAAACAAAAAATCCAACATGTGAAGCTATTGTTTCTCCACAGATCTTCCATGTTTTGTTGGAATAAACCAGGGCATGCATGAACTGAAACCCTAGTGACAATACTTTTTTACTTACCTTCGTATATAATGAAAACAGAAGTTTCATTAAACAGTTATTACTCTTACTACCTAGGAGACATTTTCAATAGATTCTATTCTGTTGTTCCATTCCATTCTATTCTGTGTTAGTTTGCGTTTCACAAGAAGCAGAGTTTTAGAGTCTAAGATAAGGACTTAAATGTACGTAGTTTACTTTGGAGGTGAGTCCAGGAAATCCCAGTAGGAGCATGGGAAAGTGAGAGCGGGAAAACAAGACAGCTAGTGAAGGGTTTGCTGTTGAGTCCGTTACCACTGGCAACCAGTTATCTCAGTGTTACCCAGCGTGAAGGATGGAGGAAGTGGTTGAGGGCTATTGGGTAGTGGACTTTTAACAGTTGCCAGTGGCAAAAAGGTAGATGCTGGCAGGTGAAGAACAGGGTTGCACAGAGGTAGTAAGGGGAGGGTACGGAGGCAGGGCACTGGCAGCATTTGTTACATGTCGTATTCCATACTTTTATAAATGGCTGGGTCACTATCAACTAACTTGGTTTCATGATCTACTCATGGATTGCAATGTTCTAAGACCATGTATCCTTAAGGGGGATCCTTCAAGTCCCATTGTGGTTCCTGGGTTGATTTTAAATGGTACATGGGCAATGAACTGAATGATAGTTTACATGGGAGAACATCGGCTTTACAGCATCGTTTCATTGCGCTGATTACAATCTCCATCATGCATCATCATTCAACAGTATTTGCTTCCTTTCCCTTGTTTTTCTTTTTCTTTTTGAGGGGGCGTGAGGGTGGGGAGATGTACACAAACTCACTTAGGAATATATAATAATTTAAATAACCAAAGGGCATACTCTGCAAGTCTGCCTCCTGGCCGCCAGCACTCAGTCCCTCTCTTTCCATGAATCTAGAGTCCTCAGCTGGTCCCTCTCTCTATGTCCTCATCTCTGCTTCCATATCTGGTGTCGCTGCTTCTCTGGATAAGGCCGTGCCTTCCACTTATGCTCTTCTCCCTTGATGGTCCTAGGGTCCTCTGTTTCTGGACTATAAGATAAACTACACACCCCCTTTTGTTACAAAACTTCTACCCTTATAGTTGTGACAGTTGCAATTAGTCATGATAACAATTACTCACTATCAAATCATAAGAATCTTATCCCCATCTCTTTTTACCAGACACGTCTAGGGTTGATTTTGTATATTTTGTTAACTTGGTATATTTGTTTTGTATATTTGTTCTCATTTTAAAAGATTTTGTATATTTGTTTTGTGTGTTTGTTCTCATTTTAAAAGTGAAATCTGTATTAGGAAAAAAGATAAAACTAGCACTTCTATGATATAAATGTTCTTTCTAAATAAATTTATTTGAGAGGGAAAAAAATAGATTGATTTCAGTGTAAATACCTGGATTTGGGGAAAATGGGAAGGTGAGACTAGAAAGGATGGCGATGAGGACCCCCTATCCTAAGCATATTGCTGTGCTCTAACTGTGCTTTTCCCCCTGCAGAGATTTGGCTATGGAGGCTGGGTGCAGCTTCAACACCACAACAAGGTGAGGTTCTCATAAATCACCAGTACTGTGGCCCAAGGTCACCCGTGAGCTTGTGATACTTGCCACATGCTGTCCCTCCGCAAAGCGAAGCTCTTCTTCTATTCTCTTATACATTTTGTAATAGGCAAGGAAATAGACTAGGAGTTCTCAAAATTATTAGGAAAAATGGGGGTAATATAAAAAAGCAGCACTTAGAAAGATGAAGCTATGATTTGAAACCAATATTAGCATGTATAGCAATGCCTTCAGTAAGTGACCAGGTTCTTTCCACAAGTAATTACAGTATCCCAAGGCCATCCAAAAGGAGCTCTGGTAGCGTAGTGGTTACGAATCTGGCTGTGAACTGCAAGGTCAGCAGTTCGAAACTATCAGCTTCTCCGTGGGAGAAAGATGAGGCTTTCTGCTCCCGTAAGGATTTACAGCCTCGGAAACCCTGTACAGGGTTGCTGTGAGTCGGAACCGACTCCATGGCACTTAACAACAACAACAACAAGGTCATCCAAATAAATAGAACAGCTTAGATTTGGTCATAAGCTGGAGAAATTAAACATCGGAAACCACTATTATTAAAGGAGAAGCCACTATTAGGGTTGAGTGTTATAAGAGGACAATGTGAGAGAAGGAAGTCTTGGGGCAAAGTGCTGTGCAAATAATGGGGCCTAGGAGTGAACTGAAAGTCCAGGCTGCACAGAGGTCAGTTTGGACTTTATTCTCCGAGGCTTATTGTGTCCTCACAGAGTTCAGGGAGAGCATTCCTAAACTCCCAGCTGAAATACAGGGAACTCAGTCCGACTCTGGAGGACTAACAGTCTGGAAAGACACAATTAACAGGCAGAGTGAATGCAAGTTAGGACATCCTTTGCACTTGGTGCTAAGGTTCGGACAGCTTATGCACCAAGTACAAAGGGAATCAGGGGACGGTCTCTTGGAAGAAGAGATGCCCATCCTGAGTCATGAAGCAGGGGTGGACATTTGCTCAAGGAAAAGGAAACCCATGTTCCAGAAAGGAGGGAAGTCATGGTGAGATTAATATGTGAGCTCAGAGCTCATGGCTGTGTGGATTGTGTCAGCATTTCTCAAAGTGTGATCTCCAGAGAGTGGAGCAAGACAGTGAAGTGAGTGGGTGTTCCCCACTGAATAAGGAATATACAGAAGCACAAACTGAGACCTCAGAACCCCAGATGGCAGCTGCAGTGTTGAAGAGCTGGGTGAGACCAGAAGCAGCAGGGAAGAAGAGTGAGGATGGTACAGAAGCTGGGCAAACGTACATTCTCACATCTGGGGTATTAGCACTTCACAGCCATTTTAGAATGAGTCTGGACAAACCTCAAAGAGGGAACAGAAAAAGGGAGCTAATCAGAATAAGCTGTATTCCAATTTTTTAAGGCAGCACAAATTGGCTATAGGAGTTAGCGGGTTCCACATTTGGAAATGTGGTGAAAGGAGATAGTCATGCTGTAAGAGAGTGCTTTTGAATCTTGCTCAGGTCAGACAGAGACAAGCACTAGGACTGGAAGCAACCACAATAGCAGCAGGTTGAGGGGAATACTTTGGAGAAACAGGCAACACAGAGAGAAATGGCTGGCTCCTTGCCCACAGCAGGACACTATGGGAGAGTCTACGTCAGGGCACTCCTGAAGGAAAGACATAGAGAGCTCCCTACCTTTATCTCAGAAAAGTTGCATCCCACTGCTTACATTACAGTCTGTGAGTAGCTAAACCATATCCTCCTTCCTGCACTGGCATGTTGAAGTCCTGAAATCAAGCATCCAGAACTCTTGAATCAGGACCAGAAAACAAACAAATAATAAAACTCAGGATAAGAGTGCTCACTAGTGGTTTTTAGGAGATTTTCACTGTTGTTGGGTTGATTCTGACGCATAGTGGCCATATAAGCAGAGTGGAACTGCTCATGGTGTTCCCAGGGGTACAAGTCTTTGTGAAGCAGGCTGCCACATTTTTCTCGGAGCAGCTAGTGGGTGCAGACCCCAGCCTTTCAGTTGACAGCCAGGTTCTTGACCACTGCATCACCAGGGAGCCAATTTGAAAAGTATACCGCCAAAAATGGAATGCAAAATTTTAATTAAAAAAAAAAAAAACCATAATGAAATGACCCAAGTTAAATAAAAAAACAGTAAAACACAAAATCACAAGAGAAGAAGAAGCAGTCAAAAGCAAAGCATGAACCATCGGAAAACTCCCCTCTAGAGGCCAGATAAATAGAAGGAATTAATCATTTCCAGACAATGTTGCTAAATAGGTTTAAGGAAAGCAGAAGCACACAGGACATAAACTAGTGGAGATCAAGAAACAAATGGAACAACAAAATGAGAGACTCAACAAAGAAACTTAAAAACATAAAAAAAGAGAAATACTGAAACTGAGTTAGAAACAGCAAGAGAAATACTCAATAATAGAGTTGAGTTGAACAGACAGAGATAGAATCAGTGAACTAGACGACAGACTAATTGAACATCAAATTTCAGAGAAATAAGAAAAGTGAACATACCCAAACAGTAATATGATATTCAATTAAGAAATCTAACATTAGAATTATTGGAATCCCAGAACACCATGACAACAATAAAGGCATAGAAACAATTTTCCAAGAGCTAATCAGAATTTTCCAAGAGCTAATCAGACCTGAACTGAGAACCATGCATCCACATATAGTAAGCTATACAAACCCAATTAGGAGAGACATAAGAAAATCAAATCCTCTCCATATTCTAATAAAAGTCTTGAAAGACAAAGGAGAGGATTCTGAAAGTAAAAAAAGAAAAATGCAGTCTAATGTGCCAAGGGTCTTTTTCATACTAATCAGTGAGAATTTCTCCCCAGAAATTCTAGAAGCCATAAGACAATGGGACAACATATACAAAATATTTTATCAAGATAATTGCCAACCAATAATACTTTTCCCAGAAAAGTTGTTATTCAAAAATTCCGAACAGATAGGAGCTCTTGGAACTGGCTACTATCAGAATTCTAACATCAAGCATGCATCCTGTGCCTCCGGGCATATCATCTGACATTAGCAATAGGAAAAATAAATATGTGGAAGGTAAATAATACACTACAAAATATCTATTGTGTCATGGAAGAAATTAAAAGGGAAATTTTTTAAATTCTCAGAATCAAATAAAAATGAAAACAGCATATCAAAACCTTTGGAACCTAGTAAAAGCAGTACTCAGAGGAAAAGTCGTAGCAATAAATTCTTACATTTAAAGAGAAGAAAAATTCCCAAAGAAGGAAAGATTCTGCCTCAAGATTATAACATGGACATTCTGACTTTGTACCTGCTAGCCCATACAGCTATATGAACCAGTTTTTTAAAATAAGTATCTCTCTCAATGTATACACACACATATACACAGGGGCTTAAGAAACTTTGTGAGAAAAATGGAATTAAAGATCATGAAATTTTTCCGTGAACTTTTTAAAGCCCCTTTGTATCTTGTTCATTTCCCTGGAGAACCCTGACTAATACATATACTAAAGTTTGGTATCCACTTCTTTATTCACTTACTAATTTTTATTGAAATCTACTCTGTGCCAGGCCCAGCAATTCAACACTGGGAACATAATAGTGAACAAGAGGTATGGTAATCAAATTCTAGTGAAGTTAACATGATCATTTTGGAAAATGAAGACCATCTAGTGACAGGAATATTCATTTGGAATGGCTGGTCAGAGATCTTGCTAAGACTTGGAGGACAGGACGAGAATGCTTAAAAGAACATTCCTGGATAAGAACAATAGTTGCAAAGGCCACAAAGTAGGAAATGGTTGAAGTGTTGAAGGAACAGAAAGGAAAGCAATGTGGCTGAAACATGGTACAAAGGAGACATGGCAAGAAATGGAGCTGGTGAAGTAAGCAGCAGGCAGGAAAGAGGGACTTGCAAGACAAGAGAAAAACAAAAATAAAACCAGTTGCTGTTGGGTTAGTTTTAACTCCTGGTAGCCTACTGTGTTAGGAGTCTGGATTTTATTCTTAGTACAAAGTAAATCCTTTGGAAGATTTTAATGGCTTAAAAAGACCACTCTAGGTGTTCTGTGGAAAATGGATAGATAGAGCTTGTGGAACAAAGTGGTGCAGAAGAAGCTGGAGTGGTAGACAGAGCTTTATCAGACAGGAACCTGGAGGTCTGATTGAGGCATTTGGACTTGATGTTTAAAACCATTAAAGAGTTTTAAACATCAGAATTTCTAGGGCAGGGAATTCTCACTTTCATCAAAGAGGGTCAGCTAAATGCTGATTTAGACACTCTACTGTACTTTCCCCCCATTAAATATGTGAGCCTGCTGAGCTGGTGATCTATGCTGGTCTCAAGCCTCCCAAAGGCAATGTGCCATATGAGTGGAGCTGATTGTGAGGCTACTAGAAAGCCCTACTTTTAGAGACAGGCTTCCTGTAGTTTCCTCTTTGTTTGCCTTAGCCTCCACATCTCAGACTATAAAGTGTTCCTCAGTACTGAATCTGAATGACCTTCACTTCATTTTATTTTAATGTCCAGAGATTACATAAATTTAGCAGATTTCTAAGACAAAAAAATAAGGAAAATGTTTTACAGTCACATCTACGGACCTACTTGTGTCCAACAAATTTGAATACAGTGGTAGTGGAACAGAATAAATCAGTTGATCTTCTCATCCCCTTTCTCTCAAAAACAAAACAGAGCCCAATCTGTAATTCCAGAATTACAGTGATTAGGGATTGGAGTCCTTGTACAACAACATACAAATGTCTACAAATACGTAAACTAGGCTAAACTCATGTCTTCAAAAACTGGTATAAAAGATTTGAAAGCTTTCTTTTTATTCTCCTATATTCTTTCAATGAAGAAATCTTCTACCTCCTCTGATTTACCTGACTAATTTACTTCAGAAATTCCTGTTCTCTGAAAGGTCTTTTCAAAACCTTTATCTGGGTTGCCCTACTTGAGTATCTTCTTGACCGTTGGTTCTTCAATGCCCCCTGGAACAAAGAGAGGGACATCTCATATTTGCTTGCTGCAGTAAAACCTTGCTCAGAGTGAACAGCACAACTTGTCCTTTGGTTAAATATAAAAGTATAAATAGCAAGCCTCTCAGGAACTGCATGGGCTGGGAGTGGAATTAGCCCCTGATGGTGAGAACATCTTGGAACACTACAACCCTGAAGGGTAGAGATGGGGCCCATTTCAAATCTATGGGTTGGCAGATCGGGTAACATACACTGAGTGTCTCTCAGGCCCTAGGAACACACACCCACCAGCTGCTCCTCAGAAACCCTAGATACAGGGTTATTATGAGTCAGAACCAACTCCACAACGCTTAACAATGACAAGAACATACACACACACAAAAAAAACACCATTTACTTCATTTAACGTTTCCACACACATAATTCTGCGTGATCCCCACTCACCTAGTGCCTGGTCTCAAAATAATGTCTCCCTTGCTGGAGAGGCAGACACCCAAATAAGTGAAGAGCATACATGTAGCAATAATTTCATGCTATATGAACAAAAGAGACAATAGAAGCAAAGTTAAGAGGAGGTGACAAATCCAAGTGGGACAATCTTCGTGAAAATAAAAAAGCCATAAAATGTTAAGGCTGGTGAACATCTAGTCCAGTGTTTGAAAATATGGATTGCAACCCAATAATGAGTCATAATATCAATTTAGTGAGTCAGGACAAACTAGATTACAAAGGAAAAGATAGGTCAGTGCTCATAGTAAGTAAATCCTCTTTCATTAAACTTTCAGTTTCTTTTATCTGTTAAAGAGATATGTCTGGGTGTTCTGGGTCACAATGAAAAATATATTGCTTAATGTGGGGTTACAACCAAAATAGTTTGAAAGTCCTCAATATATATATATATGTTGTAAGTCTTCAGTATACATATATATATGTAGTCCAATGCTCATATTTTATGTTTAAGATGAATTTTTCATTACAAAAATGTTTGAATAAATTATCCCTTAAAATCTAAGCCATTAATGAATAGCTATCGTCAACAACAACAAACTAGAAGCCATTAGAGATAAAGCTACAGTCCCCTTGAACTACCACGCCCCCCAGTCTCAAAATTAATCCCGATCCACAATGTGGTGGATATCTTTTCATACCTTTTCCTGTGACTTTACGTACGTATATGTGTACTCCTAGAAACTACCTAGTATTATTGGTTTATGCAGATTTTTTAAAAGCTAAATTAGATAGTTTCCTAATGGAAAACAGATGCTGCAGTCAAATTAGAATAATTTGAAAATAATTAATAAGGAGACTATTTATAAAGGTGTAGGCATGTGATTTCCAGTCAAGCAGCAGGTAAGTATATAGGGGAGACAACAATACTAGTGAGATCTGCGCACCATGGGATGGTCAAGCATTCACGATCAAAAGGGCAGCATTTACCTAAGGACAAAACTCAAAAGGACTATAAAAGAAGGCTGAATGGAAACAAGAATCACAGAGAGGAAGAGGGATAACTGATGTTACATGAAAGGGATTACTATTATTGAAATGAAATGAAGTGTAGGATTTGATGAATGTAATACTGATGATCTGCTCTGTAAACCTTCACTCAGTTCACAATAAAAAGTTAAAAAAAAAAAAAAAAAACTAAAGTAAAGGAGTATGTGAAGGAGCTCTGGTGGCACTGTGAGTTAGGCATTGGCAAGTTCAAATCTACAAGGTTGGCAGTACAAACTCACTAGCTTCTACATAGGAGAAAGATGAGGTTGTCTGTTCCTATAAAGATTTACAGTCACAGAAACCCCTATATAGAGTCGTTGTGAGATGGGATCAATTCAGTGGCAATGGGTTTGGGTTTGGGGGAAGCATGTGATGAATTTATAGAGGTAGGAAAGGTTTCCATTGTGCAGGGTCTTATAGGCCAAGTTAAAGAGTTTGGACTTTGGGTGACAGAACTTGAATTTAAGAACCAAGAGTGCCACAGGCACTGAGAATCAGACCCTGAGATGGAGATTAGCATTCAGGAAACTTACTAGAAAGTTCTGTTAGAATCGACACTAGTTGAAGAAAAGAGGAGGAAGCAGGATGGGATCAAGGAAGAAATTAAGCTACAAAGCAATATCAGTGGATGCCTCATCTGACCTACAGTGACTCTAAAACTGACCTTCAATTGTCCCAAGTTGAAGGGATCATTGAATTCCCTGTCAATCAGTTATCATAAGTGGATTGCCCGGGAAAGGGAGTGTGATGTTGAGGAGGTAACTCAATAAAATAATCTCCATAGGGGCTAACAGGTGAGGGCAGTATCAACCCCCAGCTAGAAGAGTAAGTCTTTTATTCCTTAAGAAGAATCTGGGTAATACATCCCACCATTCCCCCTAGTGAAGACCTTAGACTCACTTATTGTTGTTAAGTGCTGTCAAATCAGTTCTGACCCATAGCGACCCTGTATAGGGTTTCCAAGGAGTAGTAGCTAGTGAGCTTGAACTGACTACCTTGCAGTTCAAATGGCTTTGCAGTCTGGCACATTAACCCACAGCTCCACACCAGGACTCCGTTTAGACTCACTAGCTAACCCTTATTGTGTAGCTGTTGAACCTCAGGTACCCAGAGGGTTTGTGGTTTATGATAGTACGCAGGGCTCCTGACATCCATAGTATTGTGCTTTCCACAGCACTGGTTTTTCTGGCTTAAAAAAAAAAAAAATAGAGCTTTATCTGAAATAGGTTGTCTGCATGCTCATACTTGATTGAGGGATTTCTTTAAGAATTTAGAAAAAAATGGGGTTGGGTTTTGGGTTGAAAAATCAGAGTAACTTCCTCCAATTGTTTGGTTCTTGGCATAGTTCAAGATCTTGGTTGATTCTGAAAGTCAGAGTCAAAAACAGACTCTGAAAAAGCCTAGTCCAGCAGGAAGGACATGGAGATTCGTGAGTCTGATTCTCCTGCCATGAAATGAGAGCAGACTTCAGAATTTAAAAAAGAGAGGGTAGGAGTAGGAGAGGAAGACTGTTTAAGAAACTATAGTAATTACCTTGTGTCCTAGATCAGTATCAATTACAAAATAACATCCTTAGTTATTAGTAACTACTGTGGAGTCAGTTTCAACCCATAGCGGTCCTGTATAGGATTTCTAAGGCTTTAGATCTTTTAACGGGAGCATAAAGCCTCATCTTTCTCCCATTGAATGGCTGGTCAGCTCTAGTGCTTATCCTATGGAGCCACCACACTCCAGAGGTGTGGGAAATGACTTCATAGACTTGGGTTCTTGTCCCAGCTCTGTGCCTCCTAAGTCACTGCACCTCACTGACTCAATGGTAAAATGAATGAGTTAAAGTGACACTCCATTTTAGAGCATGCTGCCATGTTCTGCACAACTATTTAGGGGGTTGCCAGCATTAAAAGACAGTGTCTACATGTATGCAGCCATGACATCAAGTGGAAATAATCAGTCCAACACTGGATTTTATACATGCCTCTGATTGGCTTCATTGTCCATCTCCTTCTGCGGACATAGACATCAGTAGGTCATGTGCTACTAGACAAATCATTTACTTTTGCTTATACACTCTCAAATTTATAAGTAGTTCAAAAATATATTCAAAGATGTATCTTCTTTGTAAAACAAGAGGGTTGGACTAGGTAGTCTATCTCAAAGATCTTTTCCCGTTCTAAAATGTCATGGATCTAGATCTTCCTAGTCATTCAGTCATCCTCTTGAGTCCAGTAGCCAGAGAATCTGATCAACATTGTGACTAGTCATCCTCAATCATTCAGCCCAAAAAGCCCATGCCGTTAACCTTAATTACCCTGTTTCCAGTCACTAACACCCACAGAACACACCCTGCCAACTCCAAGTAAACAGAAAGGCATGAGGAAGAAAAGATTAAATCAATCAAACTTCAGAGGGAATTAAGTAAAATCCCTGAAAGCACTGGGAGCGAAATATATTCCTAAATATACTGGGAAGGGTCAATCCAAGTGAGTTGAGACTATCTTTTGCTGATGTGAAGCTTTCTCTGCCCCAGGGAGAAGCAAAGATGCTGAAAGATGGGAAGGTCTTCAGAGTGATTCAGGAGAACTGCTGGGATCCAGATGTTCGTATTAGAGAAATGGACCAAACAGGTACTTATGATGAGCAATACTACCCATGTTTGCATCTGATGTAAAAACAATGTCTGTCCTTTAAGTGCCACTAAACCCAAGGGCAGCTTCTGACCTCTTTCTCTGCCAGGCCAGGCTACACCAGAGTTGCTCAGGAAGGGGTGGGATCTTGCATGACAATGATTTTAGAATATAGATTCAATTTCTTTTTAAATTAGGGATACCCTGTTTTAAAATACAACCTTGTATCATCAAAAAGGTAAAAATGGTATTTCATCTTTTTCATTTTTTTAAGTTCAAATGTGGCAGTGCTAGTTGTTGCTGAGTTGGCTCGAGTTCTCAGTGAGTTTCTGTGAAATGGGCCACACTTCCTGGTCCTGTGAGGTCATAACCAATCCCAGCAGAACAGAGTCCACTGCAGCCGTTGTACTGCTCCATCTCACAAAGCTTTCCCACACCTTTGCTGATCCACTACTTCAGGAGTTGGGAACTTTTCTTCCACCAAAATTTAGAACATCATTCGAGGGCCATACAAAATCATCAACTTAAAAATTAGCCTGTTACACTTACTCATTTAATTGACCGCCCTCTAATATAATGACTAGAATGGTGGTTGCCTTGGCAAGGCCAGACGAAAAGATTTCAAGTGTGGCATTGTGGGCTAATGTGTCAGACTGCAAAGTCTTTGGAACTGCGAGGTCGGTGGTTCGAGTTCACCAGCTTATCCTTGGGAACCCTATACAGGGTCACTATGGGTTGGAATCGACTCAACAGCACTTAACAACAGCAACATATGGCCACAGACCAGACTTTCCCCACCCCTGCTTTATGTCAGTAAACATGATGTCCTCCTCTAACAATTGATCTCTCCTGATGGCCAAGCATGTCAGACAGTGTTCTGTTGTGATCCATAAGGTTTTCATGGGTTATTTTCAGAAGGAGATCACCAGGCCTTTTTTCCTGGTCTGTCTTGGTTGAGTAGCACTGCTGAAACCTGTCTGCCATGGGTGACTTTGCTGGTATTTGAAATATAATGGGATTGCTTCCAGCATCATGGCAGCTCAAAGGCAACCATGGTACAGCAAATTGACAGATGGGTAGTGGTCATTTGTGTAGTATTTGCTTATGATAAAGTCAATCAATAGAACAGTAAAAATGATAAATCACAGATTATGGATGCCAACAGCCTGCTTAGGCAGACAGTTGTTGTTAGGTGCCGTCAAAGTGACCCTGAATAGTGTTTCCAAGGCTGTAAATCTTTGTGGGAGCAGAAAGCCTCATCTTTCTCCCATGGAGTGGCTGGTGGGCACAAACCAAGGACTTTGTGATTTTCAGTCCAGTGCTTATCCTACAGAGCCACCATGTTCCCTTGGCAGACTTAGGATCCAGTCATTTCTAAAATTTGTATGGTGCACACTATACAGAAAATCCCCACTGAAACACACACAAAAAAATATTTGTCAGCTGTTTGTGGAAATGGTACATGGCCTGGGGAAATGTTGCTGATATTGTGTATGCCCTCAAGTCGGTTCTGACTCATAATGACCCTGTATAAGGTTTCTGAGAGCAGCTGGTGGGGTTTAACTGCCAGCCTTGCAGTTACCTTGTATTAAAAAATAATAATGATAAAAGTTAATATGTACTCTCAGAATCTCTACAATGAAACTAGAGTTGGATAGAGGGAAATCAAAAAAGTTTTGTTTCTGAGCTGAACTGTTAAGGATTTTTCACTACTGCTTTGCATTTCTTATCTTATACAAGGGTGCTTTAAAAATTCATGGAAAGATTCCATTATCTTTTCATTCCATTACCCATAAACATTTTGAAGCCTCCTCCTATATTTAAGGATCTCTGGTAGCATAGTGGTTACGAATCGGGCTGCAAACCTCAAGGTCAGCAGTTAAAAACTACCAGCTGTTCCGCGGAAGAAAGATGAGGCTTTCTGCTCCCGTAAAGATTTACACCCTCGGAAACCCTGTACAGGGTCTCTATGAGTCGGAACCAACTCCACACACATAACTACCACTACCACCTCCTATATTTAAAAATCAAACAAATTTCCATTATTTAAAATAACTTCAAAGACTGTCTAAACTGTGATGTGATGAGCACATTATGCTTTCCCCTGTGACTACCTGGAGCCCACCCTGTGATGAGCACACACACACACAAAAAAAAAAAAAGGTTTCCAGGCATGTGGAACAGCAGTGAAAAGGCCCTGGGACAGTAAAGAGCTTTGAAGAACAGGAAGGAGGCCAGGGGACCGAAGTGTATGGGGTCTTCTAGAACATCGTCAAGTCTGGAATTTACTTGTCTTTATTTTGTTGTTAAGTGCCGTCAAGTCAGTTCCAACTTATAGTGATCCTGTGTAGGGTTGTCGAGGAGTGGTTGGTGGGTTTGAACTGCCGACCTTGCAGTTAATAGTCCAGTGCTTGTCCTACAGTGCCATGCATATAATGTGATGGAAAGTCCTTAGAGAATTTGAGCAAAGGAGTGACTTGATGTAAGTTTTAACAAAAAAAGAAAATGATCAGGTCATTAAAAAACTCCCAATGAAAGAAAGTTCCCTCTCAGATGGCTTGACTGGTGAAGTATACCAAACATTCAAAGATGAGCTGACATCAATTCTACTCAAGCTATTCCAGAACACAGAAAAGGATGGAAAACTCCCTAATTAATTTTATGAAGTATATATAACCCTGATAGCAAAACCAGGCAAAGACATCATTAAAAAAAAAAAAAAAAAATCAGGCTTTCTGGCTAGGTAGACACTGGTGGAACTCAGAGACTGTGTTCTTTGGTAACCTTCATGTCTGTAACTGAATGTATTAACCCCAAGACCCAATTTTCAGACAAGCAATAGATAGATATATTGGGGGGACAACAACAATAGTGAGATACATACACCATAGAATAGTCAACTGTTCAAGAACAAAAGAGCAGCGTTTACCTAAGGACAAAATTCAGAAGCGTGGAGAAAGAAGGAGGAATGGAAACAGGAAACACAGGGAGGAAGTGGGATAAGTGAGTTGCTTTGAAGGAATTGCAATCAAGATAAAACAAAGTGTATGAATTGTTGGATGTAAAACTGATGATCTGTAAATCTTCATTCAATTCATAATAAAAAGTAAAAAAAAAAATAGAAATTTAGGTAAAGCCTACAGAGCTTGCTGGTAGAGTGAGTGTGAGTATGAAAGGAGTGAGTAGCCCCGTCAATCTGGTAGCATCTCTCATGAACACCGCAGCTACAGGAGCTGAAGATGAGAGATTCTAGGCATCGTGGATCTGGATTATGGAGCTATACCCCTGGCAATCCAGACCATGAGACTCTACTCAGGCCCACTAAGAAGTTGAATTAGAGGTGTGGGGCATAAGGCTGATCAATTATTTCTGTCATAACCTATGATAGGAAATCCTGGAAATTTTGGCAGAGAAATATTTTGTATTAAAGAAAATTTCACAGGGAGAGTAGATTTCACCCTTGAGAAGAAGGCCAATTATTTTTTCTTGAATGTTCTCACTTTTGTCTAACTTTCCCCCTCTCTTCAGGACCTGGGCTGAAGAACGAGGGAGGCTTGGGAGAGAGGACCAAGGGGGTTGCGATGAGGGGGACAGAGAGTGTGAAAGAAGTTGTGTTGGGCTATTTTTCTCACCAGCTTTGCCTTTGTGTCTGTGTTTAGGAGTGACTGTACAAGCCCTTTCCACAGTTCCCGTTATGTTCAGCTACTGGGTAAGTGTGAAACCTCTAGTTGCCTAGCAAGTAGAGGTCAAACCTTGATGTGGGGTCCACTGAGTTCTCCTGAGTCTCCTCCCCTTTAGAGATAAGTGAGGTCCTTCAGTCTCTCACACTGCAGACGTCTTCCAGGTCCATCTTTTTAGCCATGCCATTGCTCTAGACCTGCATTATCCAGGACAGTAGTCATTAGTCACATGGTACTATCACATGTGGCTAGTCCAAAATGAGAAGTGTTAGTTTTAAATTTTAGTATATTTCCAATGAACAATGCAGTTCTAGACCAACCACAGTCCCCATCAGGAGTAACCTGTCTGGTGGCTCATTCTTGTGATGCCAGGTAACTGACAACAATTAATGCTGAGTTGACAATGATAATAGCCGACTATGTTACCTCCCAAGAATAGATACAATTCACAAAGGTATTCCTGGATTCAGATGCTTTTCCCCGAGAGTAAATCTCTAGAGTGCTAAAAAGTATTAGTGATACAAATTATTAACCTGCTTAACTGCTAACTGAAAGGTCGGAGGTTCAAGTTCACCAGAGATGCCTTGGAAGAAAGATCTAGTGATCTACTTCCAAAAAGCCAGCAATTGAAAACCCTGTGGAGCACAGTTTTTCTCTGACACTTGTAGGGTCACCATGATTCAGATTCAACTCAATGTCAAGCGATATGAGTAGAATTCAAAGTTTCAGGTATTATCACAAACTTGTGGAGAAACACTTTTGTACAAGGGGTGGGAATGAAGATAGGGATAATGGTATACTGACACCCTTTATATTTAGCACTAATGGCCACTACTCATCTGTCAGGGTGTCGTACTGTGGTGGCTTGTGAATTGCTGTGATTCTGAAAGCTATACCACTGGTATTTTAAATTCCAGCAGGGTCACCCATGGTGGACAGACTTCAGATGAGCTTCCAGACAAAGCCAGACTAGGAAGAAGGAGTGACAAACT